TACAAAGCTATAGTAATAAAAACAACTTGATACTGGCACAAGAACAGGCCTGAAGACCAATAGAATAGAACTGAAGACCCAGAAATGAACCTGCAGACCTATGACCACCTAATCTTCAAGCTAAAAAAAAAATAGGATGGAAGAAAAACAGGTTAAAAACCTGTAGAAAACTAAAGTTAGATCCTTACATATCACCCCACCAGAATCAATTCCAAATGGATCAAAGATCTTGAGGTAGAAGCAGGAAGGAATAGGAGAAATACTAGGGCTCCTTGGCACAGGTTGAAACTTTCTTAACAAAGACCCAGAGAGACAACAAATCAAAGAAAGGCTGGACAAATGGAATTTCATGAAACTGCAGAGCTTCTGCATGGCAAAGGACATAGCTAGCAAGATCAATAGAGAGCCCACAGACTGGGAGAAGATCTTTACTAGCCATACAACTATCAAGGGCCTCATAGCTAAAATATAGTTAGAACTCAAAAAATTAAATCCCCCCAAAACAAATCCCCAAAGAAACAGCCACCCCATTAATAAGTGGGCTAAAGACTTAAAGAGAGCCTTCTCTGAAGAGGAAATAAGAATGGCCAATAGACACAGGAAGAAATGCTCAACATCTCTGGCCATAAATGAAATGGAAATCAAAACAATATTGAGATTCCACCTCACCCAGTTAGAATGGTCATTATCAAGAAATCTAATAACAACAGATGCTGGAGGGGATGTGGCCAAAAGGGAACATTACTACACTGTTGGTGGAAGTGTAAACTTGTTCACCCACTCTGGAAAGCAGTCAAGAGGTTCCTCAAGAAAACTACACATAGAACTCCCCTATGATCTAGCAATCCCACTTCTGGGTATTTATCCAAATGACACAAACAGGCCATACTAAAGCTATCAGCACAACCATGTTCATTGCAGCATTATTTACCATAGCTAAGATATGGAACCAACTCAGATGCCCCTCAGTAGATGAATGGATCAAGAAAATGTGATATATATGTATATATATATATATGTGTATATATATATAATGGAATTCTATGCTTCCATCAGAAAGAATGAGATGGCCCCATTCATAAGGAAATGGAAAGACTTGGAGAAAGTCACGTCAAGTGATAAGTCAGACCCAAAGAAACATAGGTCCCATGGTTTCCCTTATTTGTAATCATTAGTATATGTCTAATGTAGACCTAGAAGAGGATCAAAATAGCTCAATTACTATGTATATATGACCATATAAGATGGTATGAAGTGAAATTAACCCCAAGATATGGAAACAAGAGGTTTTTTCTTTATTGTTGTTGTTTTGTACTATGTACTATGTGAAGTCATTTCTTCTTTCTTACATTGTTTTCTTTTCTCTCCCCATGGTTTATCCCTTGTTGTCACTGTATTTGGTACCCTGTGTAACGTGTGTGTGTGTGTGTGTGTGTGTGTGTGTATGTGCATGCGTGTGTGTGTGTGTGTGTGTGTGTTTAGCTGAATTAGGGAAGGAAAGATGAACAATAAAATGGTGAGATAAAGGACAGAGGGCAAACCAATGCAACAGCCATAATCACAAGACAACATGTTGGAAATGAACTTTACAACTTAGGAGGGAGCATTGGGGGGAGGGAAAGTAGGAGAAAAGCAAGAGAGGGGGTAACAATGTTTGACAAGAAATGTACCCATTACCTTATGTATGTAACTGTAACTCCTCTGTATATCTTGACAATAAAATTAAAAAAAAAACAAACCTAACCTGGATGAATGAAGTCTAACTTGATAATGGTTATTACTGATTCAACCTTAATAACTGTCTTTCAAAAAAGATGATAGAAATAATCATAATATTGACTTAGACAAAATAAGTTAAAAGCTTTAAGATTGTTTTTCCTACATATAACATAAATAAAACATAACATATTCTATCTGTCTATCTATCTATCTATCTATCTATCTATCTATCTATCTATCTATCTATCTATCTATCTATCTATCTATCTCTTATCTAATGTTAAAACATTGGATATTCCTTCTGCCTAAACTCATCCCATTCTATTCCAATGTTGCCTTTTCCATAATGCCTAATTTGAATCATTCCACTTAAAACCACTGTTTACACCAGCACTCTTTCTGTCCTTGTTCTGTTTTTTTCCTCTTTATCTACAGCACTATTTTCTAACCCACTACGAAATTAATTTATTTATTAAGCTTGTTACTTATTGTCTATCTCTTCACCCCAACTATACAATGTAAATTCTTAGAGAATATCAAAATTCTAATTTGCCCACTGAGGATACTCCTGACAGGTTACTTAATAAATATTATAGCACTCACTAATTAAGCATAGCTTCTCTCTATATTATATTTAATTATAATTTCCATGTCCAAAAATTTTAAACTTCATACTTGGGGGAATGTCACAGTTTGCTTAGTTAGTTCCAAATAATAAACATATACATTGTTTTGAGTATTTGTTATGATCAATAATCTTTTCATAAGCCTACTTTTATATACAAATACATATACTAATATTTTCTCAAGATTTATCATTAAAACCACCATTCCTGAGAGGCGGTTATGCATATTTTTAATACTCCTGGTACATGTAATAAACTCACTTTCAAAGAGTTTATATCAATTTATGCTACCATTGGCAATATGAATTCCTCTAATGGCATCATTAGGAGTATTAAATATTACCTTTAAAATATCTTTATTTTATTTATTTATTTACTTATTTTTGGGTCCGGTCGAGGGGCCTGAACTCTGGGCCTGGGCGCTGTCCCTCAGCTCTTCAGCTCAAGGCTAGCGCTCTACCACTTGAGCCACAGCGCCACTTCCAGCTTTTTTCTTTTTGCTTATGTGGTGCTGAAGAATCGAACCCAGGGCCTCATGCATGCAAGGCAAGTGCTCTACCACTGAGCCACCTTCCCAGCCCCTAAATATCTTTAAACACTTTTGTGCCAGTTTTGGCATCTCAAAATTTTAACTTGGGATTTGCACATTTTTATGTAATGCAGTATATAAATCACGGATCTCCATGTAAAGCAAAAATAGAAAAAAAATTGGAAATGCCTATGGGTTGTGGATTTCAAATCAAACAATATAAGTAATGATGGACAAGTACAGAGTATCTCAACTAAAGCAAATTAATAGATGAGACTGGGGAGTGATGTTTACTTTGTTTTAAATAATTACTGACATATCAAGGTTTCTCTTGAGAGACTAAATCTGATCTGTAATGATATCAGCATTTGGTCTTGTTTTTGGGGGGTTTGCCTTTTCTTTTTTGTTTTTGCCAGTCATGGGGCTTGAACTCTAGGCCTGAGCGCTGCCCCTCAGCTCTTCAGCTCAAGGCTAGCACTCTACCACTTGAGCTACAGCACCACTTCCAGTTTTCTGGTGGTCTATGGGAGATAAGATTTTCATGGACTTTCCTGCCTGGGCTGACTTTGAACCGCAATCCTCAGATCTCAGACTCCTGAGTAGCTAGGATTACAGGGGTGAGCCACCAGCACCCAGCACATTTGGTTTTTTTACCCTTTTCCTGTGGTACTGGGGAATGAAAGCAGGGCTTTGGGTATATAACTTAATGTGTCTTTTACATCCAGTTAAAGTTCATAAATGTTGACCCATAATACAGCAAAAATGAGAGCTGAATTAGTCAAGTGTTTGCTTAGCCCAATGCTCAAACCATTTCTTCCACTCCCCTCCCCTGCCAGTGTGCCTCTTCGGATGCTTGTCCACCTGGAGTTTTCGCAGCCCACCTGGCACTAAACTGATTGCATTTACAGCATAATCCCATCAGTCTTATGGAGGCTCAAATTAGAAACCAGGAAATCAATTTCCGAAAATCCGGCATAAAACTTACACTTCTCCATTTGTGAGACAAATCATGAGAAAACCTGTCAAATTGGCTGAGAGCTATCAGTTCCTTCTTTTCTTTATAACAAAATACTGAATGAAAAACATCTATAATAACAATCTTACAAATCTCCACTTTAGGGGGGAATGATCCCTTAGTACCATACTGGGCATTTGGCAGACATTATTTCAACTTTGCAATACTATAATATCATTAAGCCCATTTTATACATAAAAAAATAGAGGGTTTGTGAGATTAAGGACCTCTCACCTTGAAGAATGCCTCAAAACCTATGTACTTCCGTGTACTACTCTACGTGATTACTGGTATTATCACATTCTGGAATTAGTAATCAAAGGTCAACGTATAAATGATTCTGAAGGCTTCGGCAGAGCTGTGCCATAAGAAACTCTATTCTGCTCTTCATCTACCTCCTATTCCTTATATTTCTGATATTTTCATAACTGCTAAGGTATTAACAGACTACCAAAAATGTGACCTAAATCTGACTACTAGATTGTGGTTGACTTTGTGCCCCTTGCACAAAGAAGACTCACAAAGAATAAAAGAAGACTCAAGCATAGTAGAGTATAGGTAACAGGGGCAGGCTTTGCCTTTTCCTACAGGGTTAGTAGTGAGGGCTAGAGAAAGGAAATACCTTCCTCTGGTATTTGCTCTAGAAAAGAAAACCTTTGCTCCAAGGGTGCCCCTAGAGCTGACACCCAATTATGAGACCCAACTGGATGTTCATGTAGTGAAATACCTTTCTAGCAGCTAGAACAGTTCTCTACCCAAACCCCTACTCCTCCAGGCCCCAGTGATTGTCACACTCAGCATTCAGACCCACACGTGGCCTGCAAGATGTTCGCTAAGTGAGAGCTTCATCCTTTTTCCTCTTTGGTGGTCACATCATTATCTATCTTCTATGCCGTTCCTGGGAGATCCTCCAAGCATCTGATAGGAGTTTCTAGACTCACTAGTTTAGCTTACAAAGGCCAGAGTAAGAGCTAGAAGGAGACCATTAGAAGGAATCACCACTGTGATTCTTTTGGCATTATGAGGGACAGAGCAAATAAGGGAACTCAGTATGCTTTATCTAGTTTAAAAAGAAAATGAAATAGAGTAGAACAAAGACCATATGCCAAACCTGTTAGACCACATCTTCTGGCAGGAGTAGCCCCCAGGTCAGGCTGAAGGTCACTGAAATTTCTCCTTGTGAACCAGCCCAGCTGCTTCCGTCTCTGGACAAGACTGCGTTTCCCAGGCAGGTCAGCTTCACCAAAGAGAAACACACTACAGCCAGGTATGTGCATGACCAGATTCTGAGCAAGGCCTATGGGCAGTGGGAAATTTTAACAAAATTAGACCAAAACCAGGCCCAATAAGATAAGCACATAAGTTTAAAATCATTATCACAAAGATAATCACCTTAACCACTTCTACATGCTGCATGAAGCATCTACGAGCCAAATATTGAGCATGGTTAATCTTCCTTTAAAATTAATTTTATAAAAAAGTTTTATTTATGTAAGGAGGCTTGGACCTTTAATTCATTACAAATCTAATTTCTCAAGGAAATTAGATGCATCACTAGATCAATGAACTAAGTGGCTTTGATTTTTAACAATTCTATAAGAGCCTCAACAAATATATTCTTAGAGTAGATTAAAAAGTTTAGAGTCCAAGGAAGATCTTCACAATTCAATATCCCTAGCTATGTATACTATTTAATTTTTTTTTTTGCTAGTCCTGGGCTTGAACTCTGGGCTTGGACGCTGTCCCTCAGCTCTTCAGCTCAAGGCTAGTGCTCTACCACCTGAGCTGCAGCACCACTTCCAGCCTTTTCTGCTTATGTGGTGCTGAAGAATCGAACCCAGGGCCTCATGCATGTAAGACAAGCACTGTACCACGGAGCCACCTTCCCGGCCCAATAAATTGAAATTTTAGTTTTTTGAGGAGGTACTTAATGCATCTTAAGTGCTCAGTGACCACATGGCTAGTGGTTTCCACACAGGGGAACATAGATACACACTAGTTCTACCATCACACATAGCTTTATTGGATAGCACTGGGTCATCTAAGGAAGCCTACTTCTTACATGTAAATGGAGAGAATTCTAAATGATTAAACATTCTTTGTATAACTATTTGAGAAAAGAGTCAATGGCAGAACATTTTTCCATCTTCCTCTACCACTTTTTATATCTGGATTCTTGGTATCTGACTCTATCTTCTCAAGGCAAATTACAGAATTGTTTTCCTATTTCTTTTTTTGGAGGGGGGGTCGGTCGTGGGGCTTGAACTCTGGGCCTGGGCACTCAACCTGAGCTCTTCAGCTCAAGGCAAGCACTCTACCACTAGAGCCACAGAACCACTTCCAGTTTTCTGGTGGTTAATTAGAGATAAGAGTCTTATGGACCTTGCTGCCTGGGCTGGCTTTGAACCTCGATCCTTGTATTTCAACCTCCTGAGTAGCTAGGATTAAAGGCCACCGGTGCCTGGCTCCTATTTCTTTTAGATTACTACATCAGAAGATCTTTGCTTGCAGCTAAGTCAGCTTTCCAAGGGATAAACTACAGCCCACATTAAGTAAGTAAGGGTAGTAGCAGTATGCACTTCCCTGTTTCATATATAAAATGCAAGCGCTTAAGGAATTTTGAAACAGGTCTGACTTATCAGAAGGGTGGGTCTTCTTTATTTGGAGGTACATCTATGGCTACATCCAGGGCCTCTGGTCACTAAACTTTCCCATTTGCAATTTTTGGGTATCTCATCTGTCCATTTATTTGTAACATAAGCTACCACATTGGTAAAAGAAGTAAAATATAGAACAATTAAAAAAATGTTGTTTTGCTGGGCTATAAAACGTCATAGAAAAATGTTCCTTCTTTGAGTCAATAGTTACATAACCAAATGGACAAAGGAATTGCTAAAAGTTTAAGCAGTTAGCTAAATTGTTCCCTCAAATCTGGAGTGCCAGTGGGGAAGGAGACAAGAGAACTAGGAGCACTTCAGGAAAATTAAGATGTTAAGACATCTAAGCATCTGACCACTCTCCAAATTATTCTTGTCCTGTGTATCTGATCCAATCATAACTTAGAGTGACTCACACTCTGGTTGAAGCAGTAGCCTTAAACACAAAATAGGATGTCCAAAAGTCTCTCCCCCTAAACACTCTAACACATTTTCTGGCTTTTCCCAGCTCCTTGCTTGTCCAGGCCAGCACCTCTACTGTTGTTAGGTACTGAATGTTTACATAGTTCAGAATGCCTGCTAAGGAGTATTCTTGAGCCTCAGAGGCAAAGCATGCAGAAATGTTTATATCTGTATTCTCTAACTGTGCACAACTGGGGGTGGCAAGGTAAAGTGCCAGGAAATACAGGATTGAATAGCATTTTAACTCCTTAACAGCTATTTGGAACCAAGAATAATTTATTTGACATCTCTGAGTCTCAACATCTCTGTCTATAAACTAAACAAAAAGAAAGAAAGTATCCCCTAAAGCTTTACTAACATCTTATCTTGAAATCTGTCAATTACAAGAAGGAAAAGGAAGGATTTATTCCCATCTCCCTATATGAATAGTATTTCAGGGCAACCAGATAACCCAATTAACAAGAGCAACAATTTTTAATATTGAAAGATAAATTAGTAACTGTGAAAATGATGATACAACCAGAAAATAAGCATCTCAAAAGAATAACTTTTAAATGGGCTGGGATATAGGTCATTTTTAAATGGGCTGGGAGTATAGGTCAATTTGTAGGATGCTTGCCTAGCATGCATGAAGCCCTAGGTTGACTTCTTGACACTGAAAAAAAAATTAAGCCAATCTGGAATTGTATAATGGCAAAGGCAATTAATGTATATATCACCTCTCCTGAGATGACGTGTTCTGAAACACACAGCAGACATTTGGAAAATTCTTTCCATCAAACGTGACCAATTTAGTCTCTAAATATAAATCATTTCAAGGAAACTTGAGGAAGAAGACAGATCTAGAAAGTGAATGTTCTATAGGACAACTGAGCCAGTATCTGCAACAAGTGAATGGAAGAGCAAAAAAATGAAGAAGGACAAGCAGGGTGGGGGTGAGGGGGGAGTAGTCCTAGATTAGAAAACATAGAGAAACAATTAGTATCACCTGGGAAGCCTATGTGCCAGTTAACTTCTCATTATTGTGACAAATACATGCAAGAAACAATTTAAGAAGAGGAAAGATTTATTTTGGCTCAGGTTTTTAGATTTTTCGGTCCATGGTGAGCTCTGATGTGTTGCTGTGGGTAGAACTCCAGCCTTGAGCAAAAAAAATCTAAAGTGGGATTGTGAGCCCCTGAGTTCAAGCTCCAATACCAGAACAAAGAGAAGGCAAAGAAGAAGGAGGAGGAGGAGAAAGGGAGGAGGAACAGGAAGAAGAGAAGGAAGAGGGAACACTTCAAACTCAAACTTGTATCTCAGCAATCTTCAGATGCTTGGCATCATTATTTAAAGCAACACTTTTGTGCATAATTGCTGAAAAGTCATTACTAACTATAATTGTCTCAGCTGTCTGTTCTACTTTGCAGTAGAGTCAAAGGTTTCTAAGTTCTGACTCCACACAGTCTCAGAGAGTCTCAAGAAACAAGGGCTCCTGAACTGATCTTAATTCCCACTTAACATTTGTGCTCTCCTTCCACTGACATTCATTTTTCCACTCTTGTGCTCATGTGCTATTTTAGAGCTTTCATTTGTTTTTATTGACACCATCAAATCTAATCTACTTGTATTGGAGAGTGGATGATGGGCTTTTGCTTCCCCTTTTAGTTCACCAAGGCCCTGAGAGTAATGTCTTACAGTTTTTCACCAAAGGATTATTGAGTAGAGTGACTTTGACTCCTAAGCACTTTGCAAACCTTGCATATCAGTGTTCACTGCCAACTTGCAAATGAGAGTAAGGATCACATTGAACAAAATGAGAACTGGGTTCAAGAATACATTGTATCCCCAGTGGGAGGCTATGGGAACAATTTTCTACCATGTGTTCACATTTGATATACTGTCCTTGAAACAGTTCCCATCTGCAAAAGTAAAGCCATATGTTCTTGGGGAGATAGTAAATGAGTTTGTCTCATGTATGTATATGTATGTGTATATGTAGACATATATGGTATATCATATAGATATATGGGATATATCTATGACATATATAGTTCTACATATTATATATTTTAAATATAGATATATAGTTAGTGTATCTATACACATATATTAAAACTTTATTGATTAAAATGATTTCTAGCAATTTTAATACATGTATGTTGTACACTTTCACCTTAGCTTGAGACAGCTCTGTATTTAGTTATGTTACTCTTTTTCTATTTTTAATTTTTATTATCTTTAAGTAGTTATAGAGAGAAGTTTCCATTTAACAAAGCAGTTTATGAATAGAATGCATCTTGATCAATGTCACCCCTTTCCACATTCTCATCCATCCCTTCCCTACCCATCCATTCCCTCACTCTTCTTAATTTTGCAGGTTAGACATTGAATTCTTGACTGTATTCTCCTCCTTTTCTCCTCTTCATTTGCTTACCTCTTGCCCCTTAACTCCACCCCATCCTTTCCTCGTGTTTGTTTTATTGAACGTTGACTTTGCCTTTCTAAAGAATTACACTATTTGCACTCTCCCCTGAATCTGTTATATTTCAGTCACTGCATTTGGTGTTTTTTTTTCACAGTTACACTTATTTATTAAGGCCAGGGTATGTGTATAATCTTTTATTATTGTGAAAATACTGTACAGAGGGGTTACAATTACATAGGCAAGATAATGAGTCAGTGACTACATTTGTATACCTTTGCATATCACCTAAACGTATTTACTTATAAGTTTATAAACTAAATCTAGCTTCCATATATAAGGGAAACATGAACACTTTGTGTTTCTGGGCCTGACTTACTGTTTCTCTTTGAAAAAAAAAAAGGAATCAATGCAATGAGGAGTTTCTTGGTGCAACAAGAACTTTTTTTTGGGGGGGGGGGTGTTGGTCATGGGGCTTAAACTCTGGGCCTGGGTGCTGTCCCTGAGCGCCACTTGAGCCACAGTGCCACTTCCAGTTTTCTGAGTGGTTTATTGGCAATAAGACTCTCACAGACTTTCCTGCTGGCTTTGAAGCGTGATCCTCAGATCTCAGCCTCCTGAGGAGCTGGGATTACAGGTGTGAACCACCAGTGCCCAGCTGCAACAAGAACTTTAAGCTTTGTGTTCTTAACATAAATGCCTCTATTATGTCTAAATTAGCCACTATTTTGGCTGAAATATAGGACTTTAGAGAATATACAATAGTAAAAGGAG